GATTGGGCAGTGTTTCGTTCTGCTGTGCATGGGGTCACTATGAGTCGGAAACGACTCGACGGCACTTAACAACAACAACAACAATAAACATTGTTATTAAGGAAGACACCAGCATTCTGAGGAACCACAATTCCAGATTTTTGATGAGAATCCTAGTTAAATTCTATCATCAGAGGTTGATGCTATACTTGGTTTGCTTGCTTGATCCTTGTCCTAGCCAATTTCTAGGAATCAAAGTCAAAGTGCCATAAAAGTAGACCTATATATATCCACTAATTTGGCAGTTATGGAAAATATATTGTGACATACTCTCCAAATTCTGATACAACTGGCCAAACCAGTCCGAAAAGTCTTGTAATTATAGCAGAATCTCAGTAAATCAGCACAAATATATCACCTAAGCAATAATCGCAAGAAAAACTGTTTTTCATATATGATCCTTTATACAAGTTTCTGCCAAATTTATTTTGTTGTTGTTATCGTTGTTATTTGCCATCAAGTCGGCCCCGACTCATAACGACCCCTCCTTGGGTTTCCAAGGCAGTATCACTACGGAAGTAGGATTGCCCAACCCTCCTTCCAAGGAGTGGCTGGTGGGTTTGAACTGCCAGCCTTCTCGTTAGCAGTCAAGTGCCTTAGGCACTATGCTACCAGAGCTCCTAAATTTATTTTAGCCTCATTAAATTTTATTTCCTCTGTTTTCAAACGTCCATATTCCTGATCCCAGTACAGAGAGCATAGATGGAGAGAAGAGGCAAAGGTTCTCTGCTTCCTCTTTCTACAGAATATGTACAAAGAAAACCCAGCCCAAAGAAAACCACCAGGAGGCCCCAATTACTTGTTAAAGTCCATGAGTAATTACTTGGCTTTGAGAAGGGCATCAGCAGCTTCGTCTACTGTCTTTCTGCGTTCCTTCAATGCACCCTCCACTGTGCGCCACTGGGCTGACTTCTCCTCACCTACAATCTGAACAAAAACATTTTCATTATGGGAACATGAATAACTGTTACAATTAAGATAAGCCAACATGAGATATGCAAATATGATTAAATGCAGAAACATAAGACAGTAAGTTCAAAGGCAGAAATTCATATTTCTCTAAAGTTGGGACTGAATCTATGTCTCATGATTCAGCTCCAAGAAGCCCTACCAAATACACCTCCTCCAAATTATAAGAAAAGTTTATGCTCCAGTGCAAGGAAGAGTCTTCTGAGGAGATATGCTATATATTTTTATTATTATTATTATTAGATTTGCTAAAGAAAGTATGAGCCAGAAAAGGTTAACAAGAACTTTTAATGATTTATGGTGATAAATGAAGTACCAATACTTAAAATTTTCTTAACTGCAGGCCTATCTACCAAAATCATAGTATATACATGAGAAAGAAAAAGTTTATCCTTGGGGATTCCGGCAAGATGGCTGACTAGGCAGAAGGATTGCACAGACCCTCTTCAACAAAGAAAAGGGAAACCAATTAACACAGACACAGAAGATAATCTTGGACCCCTGAGCCTTGAAGG